GATAGATGAATAATATATATATAATAAGGAAATATATATAGATATACCACACAATTCTTATTTATTTACAGGGTTAACCCTTCAATTTTGATATGTATTTATATAATACTTTAATATCATGCTCGTTTTATAAGAGTTAATATTTGTAATATAAATAAATATTAAAATTAGGTGTTATATATATAAATACATAATAATTGTGTGGTATTTATGTAAATACCCCCAAGAAAATGTTGATGTATAATGATTAGATCGAAAGCGAATAATGTCATGTTTACATATCTAACAAATTTATCACTCAATTTATGCATTTACATACCACTCAATTTTATGTATTTACATATCTAACAAGTAACAACTATATTTCAATTTTTCATTATATGCCACCTGCCCAATGCATGGAAATGTGTATCACACTTTAAAAAGTTAAAAAGAGTGGTACTTTTAATGTGACATGAATGATTTGAATGTCCATAAGTGTAAAATGCAAAGTTAGATGTTGGGCTGTCAAAAAAGTCAGTTGTTCGCGAACACTTCATGTTCGGTTCATAAAATGCAAAGTTAGATGTTGGGCTGTCAAAAAAGCCGAATACTTCATGTTAGGTTCGGTTCGGTTCATCAATGAGTTCATGTTCAATTCGTTCGATAAGTAGATGAGAAGAACGTAAATAAATTTTTTTCGTTCAGCTTGTTAAACGAACCAAACACGAACAGTGATGCGTTCGTTCGTGTTCGAATCGTAATATATAATAAATTAATAATAATAATATATTAATATACTATATTAGTAATACACTAATATAAATATTATATATTTATATAACATAAGTTATATAATTAATATAATATATTATTTATATATATTAATATTAGGGATGTCAAACTAGCTTGTCAGTCACGAACAGCTCGAGTTCGGCTCGTTCGTTAAGAAATGAACACGAACAGTGAATTCACTAACAATTTCAAATACGAGCTTATTTCAAATAAATTAAATTTCAAACGAACCGAACACGAACACAAGCTCTGTTCATTCGTGTTCGGTTCGTTTACACCCCTAGTTAGATGTTAGATACGTAAATATATAAGAATTGTGTGGTATGTCTGTAAATGTCGCATTAAAATAAGCACATCAATATTAATGATAAATTGAACCAACTAATAATAATAATAATAATAATAATAATAATAATAATAATAGAGGGTCAAAGTGATGATTTCTGGTGGTCATTGTTTAAAGCATTCTTCAAGAATATGAACTTAATGAATTGAATGTTTCCTTCACTGTTTGAAAGATGTACTAAATTAATTGAATGGGCAAACCTTATGGCAACATTCACAAACTCAAAACATCGACTTGGCCAACATTTTCGTTGATCACCAGACCAACAAATAAAATAAAAAACAATAGGTTTGAACCTGATTTGTATACATTGAAATTTTCAAGTGAATATCATTGTTAAGACTTTGCTTGGTATAATTATAGGTTGTTCATGTTCGGCTTAAGGCTTGAGCTTGTGTCGAGCTTTCATACATTGTTCAAGCTTGATTTGTTTAACTTTTTCGATGTTTGAACCTGATTTGTACTTGATTTGTTTATGACAAGTGAACAAATATTTAAACTAGCTGATAAAAAATTTAAATGAGAAACTATATTTTTCATATAAAAAATTTCATAAATAATTTTGTAATTCTAATCGCAGCAATTTATGAATTCTAAAATCTTTAAACTTTACTAATTCTCTACATAACTCTTATTGATGGGACACTGATTTGAATTTGGAGTGTGGAAGAACTAAATTGATCCTAAAAGTTAGGGATAATCACATTAATCATATTAATAAGAAAATTATAGCAATAAGATAATCCATATTAATGTTGTTAGCAATTGTAGTTTGATGCTCATAAGAAAATAAATTCATTACATTCAAGATTAAGAAAACTCCATAAGAAAAATATTTTATGATACTTTTCGTAACTCTAAATATCTCACTCTAAATTATCATTCACCTATTAATAAATAAATATATAATTAATAATTAAACTAAAAATATTATTGATATAATAATATTTTACTATTTAATTTATAGTTAAATAAATTTGAACTAATCTTTACAACCTATGGATGAAAGACCACAAGATCTTACCCTGAGTAGAGTTGAAAAATACTTATTGATATAATAATATTTTACTATTTAATTTATAATTAAATAAATTCGAACTAATCTCTACAACCTATGGACGAAAGACCACAAGAACTTATCCTGAGTAGAGTTGAAAAATAATGCAACTATTCTCTACATGCATAACTTATGTGCCCCAAAGGAAGGAAAGTTTGAATTTAAGGAAACCACTTAAATTCCCTTATAACTGAGTTATATTATAAGAAAATAGTACATCAAGTCCAATAAAAAAGAGGACAAAAAAAAAGTTTACCAATAAAATTTGGTTAATTCTCCCTATAAAACCATCAAGTCAACTATAAAGTATAAGAAGGTGAGTCATAACGCCCCAGGATTCCTGTAAGTGTAGTTGAAGTGCCCCAGGATGATTTCTTGTAGGAGTGTTAAGAGCTTCTAGATAGATGAATAATTCGTACGTGTTATAATACATCACTCATTTTTATTAAAATAATTTTAATACATCTTGGCAAATTCATTTTTCAATAAATGAAGTATGTGCTAGTCTTATAGGGAGAAGCAACATATAACTTCATATATTTCATTATCTTATTCTTTTCACAATTGCTTGACAAAGAGATAAGAGAATCAGGAAACAAAATGTATACACCTAAAAAGACTTGTCGAGTTGTCAAGCTAACGAGTTGTCAAGTTGTCAAGCTATTGAGTTGTCGAGCTGTCGAGCTCCCGAGTTCATGAGCTGCAGAGTTATTGAGCTAACAAACTTCTAATCTGATGAGCTAATAATATGTTAAGGTGCAAGCTGCCGAGCTACCAAGCTGCAGAGCTGACAAACTACTAATTTGTTGAGCAGTTGAATCGCCAAGCGATAAGCTGATGAGTTCAACTACATTGAATAACATGATATAAAATTGTAGGACATGAAATAAAGTTGTTGAGCATGAAATAAAGTTGTTGGACATGCATAAAGCTACAAGATATGATATAAAGTTGTTATAAATGGCATAAAGTTATTGAACATAACTTAACATTATGTACATTTATATAATCCTTTAGACCAAGATAAAAATACACTCTGAGCTTATAAATAGAGGTTAATTGTTAAAACAAGATGGGAAGGCAGGGCTCTCTCTTCCAACGGACTACTCCTCTCTCTTTCTTTCTCCCTCTTTTGCTCAATCCTAATAAGTTTCAGGCATAACCCACAAACATTATGGGACCTTACATACTCAAAGGATTCAACATCTCAAGAGGTAAGGTGCGATGAACAAGAATATATGTCTGAAATCTGAAGTTACGCATAAAAATCTCGACAGTGACAATAAAGATCACACTAGAGGTATTTTCATTAGATGAGATGAGATAAGACATCTTATCCTTAAGTCTTTCATTTTTACATCATTTTAACTCCACTAGCTCTAATTTTTTCCATATGTTTTTTCATTAGTGTTTTCATTTTTTTAAATCAAGGAACTTGTCCCTCATGAGCAACTTTCATAAGAAAAAAGGAAAAATCATCCAAACATTTAGACTCTATGAAGCTCAATAGTTGAATGTTAAGAACCACTTTGGAAAAAAATTTTCCAAAATATAACTCGATTGAAAATAGTTGAAGTCACTTAACAAAGGATTAAAGACGATGAGATCTCATCGTAAAAAAAGTTGAAAGACTAAAGTGACTACTCACTTTAGGCTTAGCTTCAAGCCATTAGAGGAAGGAAAGTCTAAATTTAACAAAATCTCTTTAATTCCTTTAAGACAGAGAAATATTATAATGAGACATAAAAAAGAAGAAATTTTATTACTAATAACACTGGGGGCATTCTCCTTATAAGACCATCAAGTCAACTATAAAATGTCTGAAGGTGAACCATAATGCCCTCAAGACGTAATCCTATAGGTGTAGCCAAATTGCCCTCAGAATGATTCCTTGTAGGAGTGCTCAACGTCCCTAAATAGATGAATAGTCAATACATAGTAAAATACACCACTCATTTTTATCAAAAAAGTTTTAATTCATATTTTAATTCATATCAATGAATTCATTTCTCAGATAAATGAAGTAAATGTTTGTCTTATAGTGACACGCAAGGCAAAAAATTAAAATTTTCATTATCTTATTCTTATCGCAGTTGCATGTCAACGAGATAAGAGAATCGGGAACTAAATGTATACAGTTAAAAAGCTTGTTGAGTTGTCAAGTTGTCAAGCTGTCAAGCTATCGCACTGTTAAGTTACCAAGTTGTCAAGCTACAAAGATGTCGAACAATCGAGTTGTCAAGCTTACGCGTTCAACATATGGCAGGCTGAGGAGTTGTTGAGCTACCAATCTGCCAAGTTGATGAGCTGGTGAGTTCAACTATATGGTGGGACATAAAATAAAGTTACAAGACATGACATAAAACATCATATAGGACATAAAATTGTTATACAAGACATAAGACTATTGAATGTCTTAACATACTTTATATAACTTTTTGTACTATGATAATAAGACAATCTAATTGCTTATAAATAGGAGTCAAATATGAAAATGGGGAAGGTAAGACCCTCTCTTCCCAGGGTCTACCACTCTCTCTTTCTTTCTCTCTTTTCTGCTCAATATTTGTAGATTTGGGCTTTACCACCCTACGTCCTTACCTCTTTCTTTCTCTCTTTTCTGCTCAATATTTGTAGGATTTGGGCTTTACCCGTGAACATTATAGACCCTACGTCCTTAAAAGATTCAAGGCTCATAATGGTGTTGTCAACAAGCTTCGCATTCCGCATCAGTTGTCTTCTATTCTTCGCGATAAATTAATAAACCAAAATGTAAATAAAATTTTTAAATGAAAATTATTTATACTGGCAACATGTCTCTTGAAGAATACATACACAACTTCAAGAATAAAGAATACATGTCGAATACACAAATAAGCCAGCTGTCTCTTGAAGAATAAAGAATATATTCTTAAAAATTTCCTTAGCTCCAAGATTAGATTAATTTTGTGCTTAGATTGTGTTCAAATAAAATCATTTGTACCGGGCAACATGTTGAATTTTTTGACCTAATTGAAAATGAAAAAATTGTCTTACTTTCTGTAATTGCAGACATAAGAAAAATACAACTAATCTATTAAGCATTGACAAGCATGAACTTGATGCAAAAATTTATGAGAATCAATAAAACTGAGGGTCTATTTGAGTTAATTGCTACTATTTGACGAAGTAATGATGAATCTAATGCAGAAAATAACGCTCAGCAAAACACAACTCCCTCCCGCAACCTTCTGAAAAAGCAGGCAACATGTAGTTTTATCATATGTCACAGTATGACACCGCATCATGCCGTCACCGCACCACTGCCTCAAACACATCTAACAGAGGATTGATCACATGATTTTCACATGTAATAAAATTAACCTCATCCCAGTACAAAACATAGTAAAGCATCCGAATCAAAAATTTAAATTATGAAGTAATAATATGTTAAAAGTCTTTCCGCAATGTTTCAATCACCTAAAAGACAATGATAGCGAACACAAAAGAGAAAAGCAAAAGAAAACACTTTCACTTCCTAGAAACATGGAAGTATATTTAACATTGTAATGAGATAAATATTGAGAATCATCTAAAAGAATCTCACACAAAATAAAGGTGATAAAACCTACAAGAAATGAAGGGTAAAGTTCTCTTAAATAAAGATTTCAAGAATTAAAAAATAAAAAAATATTCAAGAATGTTATTCCTAGGGAACAATTGTTTCCCTGAAAACCTTCATGGTATTTCAACATCACATCTCTTATGAATGTGAAGCTTGAAAAAAAAATAAAAATCAAATAAAAAAATCAAATATCCGACAAAACAGACAATTTCCATAAAAGAACCGAAGTTTCCGTTATTTATGGAAAAAAAAGGTATACTCTTATAACTTGAATAAAAATCAAACGCTCCGAACACATTCTGCAATCTGGTTTTGCATCTCTAACACATGCGCAAAGAAAGCAAAGCCTAACCTCAGCTGTAGAAATAAACTCAAAACTCAAATATTGGACAGAATCCTATACTTGTGGGAACCAAATTTGAGTAAATGGAGCTAACTCTCAGGTTAGCTCAAAATAATTAACTGAAAAATTTCTCTTTTTCTCCTGTTTAGCTGAATTCTTCACCTATTATAAAATCTGTCACCAAAAGAATGAATCCTTCCTAGATTGCACCTCCTGAGAAGTAAGAAAATGAAGAGTAATGTTAGGACGAATCCATCAGAACAGGTTAAAAATGAAAAGAAATTCGAAATTTCAATGCAGAAGGAAAGAGAAATTATTTGCATTTTCAGTCTAAATAGGTTCAATCTCAATAAGAGCATACTTAACAAGAATTCACTGTTTAGGGGCATTTACATACGTACCACACAATTCTTATGTATTTACACATATGTTACAACTAAACATTCATATTTACAGGTATACCACTCAATTCTTCAATAACAACAAGCCTTTATCCCATTAAATGGGGTCGTCTACATGATTCATTTTTCTATAGCGTGTCCTATTGAGTTTCATATTTTCATTTAATTCTAATAAATTAAGATCATTTTTATACAACATGCCCAGGTCTTTTAGGTCTGCCTCCATCTTAACACAAGTTGAATTTCTTTAACACACAAAAAATCCCACCATCACTATCTTTTTAAAAGTACAATACAGATTTTTTTGCATGAGTTTATGACACCAAGGTGATATGAGTGTAAATGTCAAATGTTTTGGTGTTAGATAGGTAAATACATAAAAATTGTGTGGTATGGATGGAAATTTCCCTATTTTTTATATTATGCAACCATGAAACTGCTACACTGACATTGCTATTAAAAAGTTAAACAATTTTTAAGCGATAGGTAATTATGAGAAAAGATGACATGTCAGGGGTATCCATTCGAGTTCAGTAAATTATAGAATTTTACAACGTTTTCCATTGACTCAAACAAAAATAATTCATCACCCTCCAAAAAAAAAGATAATCTCCGATTAAGAGTTTAACAACAATGATTAAATATAGTAAACACGAGCAGCTTAGACTTTATGCTCTATGACTTAAGTTTTATTCGTCAATGAGACAAGTTATAGACTAGAATAAGATAATAACATGGAGATATAAAGGCAAAATTATGACACTACAATTAGTTTAATTTATAGTATGGATCAAAGTGTTGGGTTAAGAAAAATTTCACAAGCCAAAAACAGGAATGTATAAATGAGAAATTAAAAAGATGATTATGTTAGAAGACCAGCTAGAGTAAAAGTAATAGAAAATCATTAGGTTGAAAACAAACTTGGTGATTTTGGCACATACAACAAAGGGTAGAAAATAAAATCATTAGATAGATAGATAAAATAAGTGTAAAAAATTAGGCAGTAGATCTTATGTCATTTAGGCATAAGCTGTTCAAAGGAATCTGCAAAGAGTAAACTTAAGTACTCATGCATTAATAAACAAAAAATAAGGGTTCATAAAAAAGGCCTCAAGTAGTAAGAATAAGAATAATGATGATGTTGGTATATGGTAGGACCAAAATGACTAAATTATATAATACTTATAAGAATATGCAACATTGCTTCAAATGTAATTGTTGCTTTAGATAGACAACCTTGTAGTCTATGAATTTTGTCATGAATTTAGTGTTTTGAAACGTAATTTTTGGGCGATCTTAGGGCTAGAAGTGTAAATGAGTCGATTCGAGCTCGAGACACACTCGACTCAAGCTTGAGCTTAATTAATTAATCGAGTTCGAGCCAACTTGTTTATTATAAACGAGAGAAAATAATACTAATGCAAGCTAGTGTTACAACAAAATGAATTAGGAGATAAATAATAAGAATCGTTCGATATAAAATGTCTAACATCATTTTTTAAAGCATTTTTAATAATTTAAAGTTAAAGTCATGAATTTTAATATACTATGAGTGTATTTTATATTAATGCTTTTTTAAACAAATCGTTTCATGAGCTAAGGAGTCGAATCGTTGCTGACTTGAGCTTGGCTTGCTAGATCAGCTAGCATAGCTCACAAGAACTTATCGGGCCAAGCTTGAATTGGTTTACAAGTCGGCTTGGTTCAGTTGCACCCCAACTTGAATTCCTTGAGGCAGTCCGAGAAGACATTTGGCATATGATGCTTTAAGCACATAGAGCGCCTTTTGCATTAATTCATGAGACATAATATTTATGATCTAAGCTATTAAATTAATTTAAAATTATCAAAGTTAAATAATTGAATTTTGATTTATTGTTAATAACCTTTGTATTATTTAAGAACATAAAATGCCGAAATTATTCACATTAACCATAACTTGAACCAACGAAGTTAAATTGTAGTTAAAAGTTCAGTTTTAATGTCCATTCATTTACATTTAAAACGTTTGAACAATAAAATCAAAGGCAAACAAATAGTGAATGCAGTGTAAGATGAGGATTTGACTTAATTGTAGTTGAGTTTGTTCCTAACATTAAATTTGCTACACCTCAATTGACACAGGATTTCAATTGGATATGAATTGGAAGATTATTAGCTTCATAAATGAAGATCTGAGAATTGAATAATTACTTGTCTTGTTTACTTTTGTGACTAATTTGGTTTGACTTTACATGCATGAGTAACCACAAGTTCAAGTTTGAATATCCATGTAGTGATGGGCTTTGATATGATATCTATTTTAATTTTGTTTCAAATACTTGACCTACATAATTTTTATTTATGTAACATCAAAAATATAAATTTATGGCATTTATGCCCCATGGATTGGGGATTGAGCCCTCCTTGTGACAAACAAAATAACTCAATTCATGGATTCACCTTTTAATACATTAAATTAACTCAACAAGGCGAATTGGTTGCACCATCAACAAGTAAAATATCCTTCATACCTCAAACTCATTAAAACAGAACAAAAGCAAATAATGGCAATCTTAAAAATTCAGAAGGTGGGAAGAACTTCTTACCTCTACTCATCCGCCTATTTGAATCAATATAACCACCCATGTAAACCGGTGAACCAACCCTAGCCGAGAAATCTGGAGACGCAGTTCGAGGCCCATAACCTAAAGGACTAAAGTGATCAAGATCAGACGATGCAGACAGCCATGTAGACTCTCCATAAATAGAACCACCAACACCATCTGAATAGTTCCCTTGATAACCATTAGCTGTTGTAGCAAAGGAATCATTGGCTGAACTAATGCCAATGTTTCTTCCATAGCTTCCAGTAGCCAAACCAAAACCAATCTCTGCATTTTCATAATTTGGATTCCCGATAAAGCCTAGACTGCTAATTCCATTAGCTGAAGGAGGAGAGGATGAGTCGGCCCAGTTCAAGCCATTGTTGCCAAATCCACCAAGGCCCCCAATTCCTGAGCTCATGAAAGAGTTTAAATCCCTAGAATCGGTACCGTAGCCAAGACCAATATTTCCCAATAGACATCGAGCAGCTGAGCTAAATGATGAACCAGGATTTTCAATGCTGCTTGAGTTTTCACTAAAAAATGGGCTTAAAGCCCTTCCATAACCAAGGCCGCTGTTGAAACTTGAATTCCGACTATAAGTTGGGCTCATCCCAGGCTCTAAACTCCATCTTTGAATGAAAGGAGAAAATCCCTTCCTTACACCTGTTAATTGTTCAAATCTACCATCCATTCTCAGAAAGTTTGGATTGTAATCCTGATTGTATCCATTTAAAATGCTATTCATTATATTCAGTCCACCATATTTTAATCCCCCAATTGGTAACCTCATTGCAGGCCCTGGTGAGAGCTCTTTAGGAATGGCTATTTTGACCTCCACCATCTTTCCGTTCAGTTCATGCAATGATTTTTGCAGCACCTTAATGACAGCTTCTTCTGACTCAAAAGTTATGAATCCAAACCCTCTCGGCCTCTGCGTATTGTGATCGTACATGACAACAACATCATTAATGGTTCCAAATTGCTCAAAGTATCTTCTGAAGTCTGAATTTGTCACAGTTGAAGCAAGTCCTCCCACAAAAATCTTTTTCATTTGACCAGGAGCAGAACCATGGATGCTGTTGCTGTTTCTATTAAGTATACAGTGATCATCCCGGGGAACAGCCTTCTTGGCTTCCACCTGTTTATGAATAAATTCAGTACCATAATTACATTCAAATCAAAAACTCCTCAAGTTTCAAGAGAAGAGGAAATCATCACGGATCAAAAAATTAAATTTTGATAAAATGTTCATAAGATTGATAACGTAAAGAATCCAAATAAAAAACCAAACGAGATGAAAGAAAAAAAAAATGTACTAACCATCCTGCCATCAATAATAAGATGTTTCTCCATGACAATTTTCTCCGCAACAGAAGGGTCTGCGAAGACCACGAATCCGAAGCCCCGAGCACGCCCAGTTATCCTGTCCTTCATGATTATCGCCTCCAAAACTTCCCCAAAGCTCTCGAAGTACTCCCGTAGGCGGACCTCATTGGTATCCCTCGAAATCCCCCCGATGAAAAGCTTCCCCGAATCGGACTCCATTCCCCTTCCTGCAATTTCAAATTCAGAATTCATACTAAACCAATCATCATCATCATCATTAGCTCAATCCCAACCATTTGTAAACAGCTTTACGAATCCTCATTGTCTATTTGTTCAAGTTGATTGTTACCATAGACATTAAAACCTGCTCTGCACCAAAATGATCACAGATAGATCCAACCCACAACAAACAAGAAAAAACATAAAAGCCGATAACTCGGATAACATAATCCAATCATTTCAACTCATGGTCAATTCCATCACCACGGAATCGACGCCCTTCATTGATCCATCAAACCACACAATGGAAGCACAAAGTAGTTACGAGAATGCGTAAGAAATTAAAAAAAAAAAAAAGGTTGAAACTCCCATCTCTCAAAGAGCGAAAAGAAACGCAGTTCAATCCAAACTAAAGGGCAAATCGATTGAATCAAAATATAAAGCTACGAACCTGAAATTGGTTGCATAACGCTCACCAGTCGATCAGAGATCCGCTTTTGGAATGTAGGCGAACTAATCCCAACCCTCTCTCCCTCTCTCTATCTCTCGCTAAGATCCGGAAATCGGCAGCCGCAGATCAGATGACCATCAAATCGACTTCTTCAACTTCCTCTCGCTTCGAAATTTTCATCAAATTTAATTTTTTTTGCTTTTTCTTTGCAGCGTTTTGTATCCTCCTCTCGCTTTCTGCTTAGGGGAAGCGCAGAATGGTATATATAAAGACGAAGATGGAAGAAGAAGAAGAGGAAGCGAGAGAGATTCGTGGGAGGTAGAGGCGGGGAGGTATAGGAGGAAATCGGTCAGCTTCCCATTGGCATGCTCATTTAGAAATGCATTTTAGTTTTTAGTGGTTTTCAATAAATAATGAAAATGTGTGGTTAAATTTTATGCCCTTTTAGAAATAGAATTTCTATTTTAAAATGGCATTTGCATATATACCGCACAATTGTTATTGTATTTACATACCTAATAACTAACCATTCATATTTAGATGCATATCAAATGAGTCAAATCTTGAACAACACATCTAGAATACATAACGCGTAGTTTTTATATATTTGTGATTTCAGCATTTTGGAAACACAATTTTTTTAAATAAGCTGTCAAAACTCAATTTACCAAACGGGTCTGGGTGTGTTTTCAAAATTCACCGCACCAAATAAGCTCCCCAAACGAGGCCTTACATGCAAAAAACCACCAAATAAGCTCCCCAAACGAGGCCTTACATGCATAACAATAAATTTTTTTGTCAACTCAAGTGCGGAAGGCAGTACATCAACGTAACATGCGATGAATAAATTGAAATTGTTTTGTATTTTTGAAGGGAATATTATATGTAAATAGTTATAATAAAATATAACCTTTTTTTTCATAATTAATAGTCCACTAATATTGATTGAATCAAAGCTGAAATAATAATAGAGAACGATCTCCCAGACAAAAAATGATCTCCCAGACAAAAAAAAAAATTGCAATAGCTAAAACGAATGGTGAAAAATACTAAAATGTGAATTTTAAAACTGTCAAATTTGCTACGGTGGAGGTGGAATTGCTAATAGTTAGATAAAACTTGTTATGCAAAATATCAAGAGTGGGTTTGCCAAACAAACTGAATAATAACAACTATTTATTAAGGTACAAATGATAGGAAAGATGGGGCGTGCATTATGAACAACAAATAGAGACATCTATTTTATAATTCTATAACGTCTTAAGCAACAAGAGTATCGTAAACTTCAAATATGTTTACTTATTATAAGGAAACTTGCAATTATTTTTTAATCAAATTTCTTATTATTCAATTTTTATTTATATTTTTATAGTTGGTTTTAGCTGACACCTTAAAATCAAGAAGGTCAATGCCACCCAAAAAAACTCAACAATTTTCTGTAGAGTTATCACTTTGTGGGTTCATCGATCCGATTAGCCAATATCTAAAAAGATTTTGTCAATTATCAGAGTAATTGATAAAAAATGTTGTCATAATTATTGAGTAACATACAACAAATCATGAAATAGTTTCGCCTTGATATTAAGAGTCTCTTCAATAATTCTCCAATTTATGGATCAATGATATAAAATAATGTTTATTCATTTATTTTTGTTTTTTCTTAATATATGGGTACCAAATTATTTGAGGCACTAAAGTGCTTGTTAATTGGTGGTTCATATTATTGTTGTTGAGATGTTTGAAACAAAAAATAAAATCAAATTCCTTAGGATACAAATCAATTTTGACTCTACTTGGTATTAAATATAGTTAATTTTTATGCTTAAAATGAAAGCAATTATATTTTGTTTTCATCAAAATTACAAAAAAAAAAGGATTGAGAACAAGCCATGGAAAGAAGTCCTAAGAGAAAATATTACATTCAGATAATGTAAGTGTAGATTGGGGTGTATTTTGGGTGTATTTTAGATGTAATCACCTAAGTACGCCCAAAATACACTCGTCCAGACATATATATCATCCATATGTAATAGTTTTCCCAACTCTATTAAGAAGTTTATTTGTTAAATATTTTCTTCTGTGTGAGAGCTAACCTAAATATGCCCAAATTTAACATCTTAAAAGGATTCAACATCCTAACAGGTGTAGTGACCGTGAAGTTCATGCTCAAACCCTAGAGTAAGGAAGAACATAAAAATATGATGAATTACACCAGAGTTGGTGGCACGACAAATCAACAAGCTAAAAAAACAAAAGATGAAAGTCATATAGAAGATAAGAGGATAAACCTCTAGATCTTGTTCACGAGCCCCTCCTAAAACACACAAAGGATCATCGAATTTGGTGGTTCGCATACGAGCCTTACCAAGAGCAAGATATAAAAGGCTTTTAGTCTGAGGTCGGAACAACAAGAAGAAGAGAGGGATGAAACTTAGATCCCTAAAGGAATTCTTTAGAGTCTCTATGATAGTACAATAAGACATCAATAGAGCTAACATTATCAATTAGAATACTTTTCATCGTGTGACAAGGTTTGTCAATTTTTACACTGATAATGAGAGGATCTTTGTGAGAAATATGAATTCTTTTAGGCCAGAATCATCAAAAATGTGGACTTGATGAGTAGTTTCTCTTACATTGGTTCTTCAAATGCATTGATGAGAACTTGATCAGATAGTCACGGACCTCCAACAATTGTATGAATTTTGTCAACTATTTGGTGACTTCTATTTTTTTTATACCCCCCAGTGGGAGTGTTGTTTGTATGGGAGGGTTTATTTTGGACAAAAAAATATAAATACCATTGTTGAATCAGTCTTCCAATCTCTTCCTTGAGCTGACTACATGCCTCAATGGGGTGATCACGACTCCGGTAGAAGTGATAGTACTGTTATTGATTCCAAAAGTTTGGTTTCAAAAAGTGTGGCCACTTAATGATCACTTCATCCCTGATAATCATCAGAAGTTTGACACATGAAGTGTTGAGCATAGCAAGTTTGGCTCGGGTCGTTAGTTTGTTAGACAAGGAGGGAGATCACAATTCCTATGCGTTCGACCTTCTTCATTATGAGGTTTGAGCAGCATCCTTAGGGCTATTCTTACGTTTTTTTCTCAAATCGTTTAAATTGCACCTTGTACACATTAATGACTTATTCTATAGTGATTTGTGCTTCAAAATAGTAAATGAGGTCCGCATAAGAGTGGATGGCCTCTCACACCAAGGATAAGTAGAAAGGTCTAGGACAATTCCCTCCAAGAAATACTCCCCTTAATAATTTGGGATTCATCCCTAAAATATGACAACCTTAAGTGGAAAATCTTTGAAAGTACTCTTTGATAAAATCTCCCTCATTTTGATGAATTCTTGAAAGATGAGACAAATCTTTGATAATTCTTATCTTTGATATAAATTGCTCCAGAAAGAATCTGGCAAACTCATTGAAGTTACGGATAGTGCATCCCAGGAGATAATGAAATCAAGTGTAAAATTGATCCTTGATAGAAGTGGGAAATAATTGATAAAAAGTGCATTAGAGGAACACACTGAAGGTACGTGATAGTTCAATAATGGTCAACGTGTTCTTAAGGGGTTGTTAGCTTTTCATAGGAGTCAATATTTGGGAGCTTGAAGACTACAAGTATGGGCTGTCGGAGGACAGCCTCAGCCAAGAGTGAATATTATTAAAAGTTGAGACAGGTGGGGAAAAGATCTCTATCTCCAAGAGGGACCACTTTTCAAACCAGACGTCAAAACACGTTACAGATTACACACTCAGGAGCAGTAGCACAAAGTGGTCGGGCTAGTTTTCCTGTGGGTGTCAAGGGGTTACTGGTTAGTTTAGCAACATGGAGTGAAACTTGTAATATCGAGGAGGATAGTGTCTTGGACTGGTATAAGAAGGGACCGTCATAGGGAGTGGACTCAATACATGTATGCTAGAGTGGGTCATTTCATGTTGGTTGTTGACTTTTTGATAAGTATACTCCATCGGGTTTTGTGGCCAGAGGAGGCCAAGACTCATATAGGAGCTAGAGAATCTGATTCTGAGACACCTCTTGAGCACTTGATATTCCAGAGAAAAACCGAAGTCACCTTCGTTGGTAGGATGACCCCCTCCATGGTGGGAAAAGGCAGGGGCTTAACGTCTATGGCTCAGTGATTATCTTCTGAAATCGTGGGTGTTAAAGTTGGATGCTTCATTATTATGAGTATTACATCTAGTGGTCATTTAATAAGATTTAAAAGTCCTTTGATGGTGTGATTGATTGTTTCCCACAAACGGTGTCAAACTATTGTGTGTCAAAAGTTTTGTAGTAGTTGAGCAATTATTGACATTTTAGCATTATATCAAAATCCAACACACACACACACACACATACACACAAATAATAGAAATAGTAGATAGAGATATTATAAAATTTGCATGGAAACTCGAAAGGGAAAAAAGACGAGGTCTGACTTAGTCAGAATGATTCACTATAAGTTTGTGAGTACAAGTATAAATCCTTATCCAATAAATGGGAAAATGTTACAAAGTCCCTCCAGGTACATTGTTCGTTTGTAGAAGGGCTTGGTGTACAATGGTTGGGGGCAGTTGCTATTGAGAGTTGTCATCATTTTTTGGGTAAATCATGAACAATATTGCACTACTCCACAAAGATACTTATTACTCTGCAATGTACATCATTAATCCACACAGTGTTGGGCTACTCCACAATGTGTTTCATCATTGTATATAGGACTTCATGGCAAAGTACATCATTACTCTGCATGGTCCAGCAACAGTTATGAGAAAGGGCAGTTGACGGTGGTTGATAATTATGGGAGTGGTCGTCATGTCTTCAAACCCAGAACGGCTCTCATATTCGACTATTTCTCCTCTTCTTTCTTCTAGTCCAGGTCTCCCTTTAGATCTCCCTTCATGAAGGGAGTAAGACTCTATCTATAGATTCTAGGAGTGACATCGTCTATAAGTAAGATAGAAATACAAACTACTCTATCAGACAACCCAAAGTTATCCTTTGATCAAATGGCGTCTTGGGGACATTTAAGTGTCTTAATTGTGTCAAAATTGAGTGACCTTAAGCTTGTTGGATTCGTCTCATCGAAGCACTCGATTTGACCATAAGATTGTTAGATTTAGAATCCATTTCACCTCAAATTAACCACCCAAATCTTCCAAAAGTGATTTAATAACATGATTCGGGCTTGATTTGACTCGGATTGGATCAATTTGGTGTCATTGGATTCTTCTTGTTGAGTTGTTTGGTTTGATTATAAGTTTGCGAAAATCGGAATCCTATATCATTTTTCATTTGAATTTGAATATTTCTTGCTCAAAAAATACTTTCAGATTCG